CCCCAAAACCCCAAAACCCCAAAACCCCAAAACCCCGTTGCTTGAAAATCAGCTAAAATTAAATGGTTTGTTTAAGTATAATTAATTTTATGTTAAATGACTCAATATAAACTTATCTATATGAAAAAGAATGGATCTTAAATATAGCTATTAAAAGTATTTCTTTATTTTATTTTCGATCCATTATATTTAATTGAAATCTCTTTCACTAATTAATATCAAGGTCTTGTCCGTTACTTATAAAACTGGTGTTCTAGTCTTTTTGAAACTCTCGACTACCGTCCAGGTCAATTGTGTTTGTCATTCCTAGTATATTCTGCTGATTATAGTTGAAACCGTTTGTATTCTCACTCTTGTATTAATCATAGTTATCATGATCATTGTCATCGAAATACTTTAGATCGTCTTCATTTGGAGTTTACTATAGATTACTATCTTGCCTTCCTGCTGAAATTAGATCATCATATTTCTAACCTCCATTAAACCTCTTCTCAAAGTCTTGTAAGTCACGGTCATCTAATAGATTGCTGTCATTTAATTAAAATCCTGAATCGCTAAGCTAGTTTTCAGTTTTCAAATTCTCTGCTGCCTAAAATAGTGCAAGCGCATTATTTGGCTAGTTCATATTTAGATTAACAAACTTATGTTTAGGGTTTGCGTATACTCCAAGATTAGTTGGGTTCTATTAGCATTTCATATTTTACATCTGCTCATAGGTTAATTGTTGCTATTACTACTACTGTATCTAAGGAGTAGCTTTTTTGCTGTTATTGTATAGATTATTATTGTTTTAATTATAATTAATATTCATGTTTTGATATGAGTCATCTAGTTAGAGTTTTGAAAAATCTAGTTTAGGTATATTTGAAGGGGGCTACTTTTATTGCATCTGCTTGCCTCTATTATTAAATAGATTTTGCTATGGAGTGCCCTTTTCTCTCTTACTCTGTTTAAACATATTTGCTCCCATTGAGACTTAATATTTGTGGACTGATGATAATGAACTTGTACTTATTGGTGAAAGTGGCATCTGTGCGAAAAATTCATTATTGTTGTCGTAATGAGTCAGCTCATCCTCATATACAATTTCCTTGATATCTTCCATAAGATTTTCTGGCAAAGAGTAGTTTTCGAGAAGAGACTTTAAAAAGGATTGGTATTTTGACACTTCCATCATCAATTTTTTAATTGTTCTTTCGTTTTCCTTGAAAGCCTCATCTCTTTAAAAAGACATTTACTCGCGTGGGTCTTTTTGTCTCTTATTATCAGTAGTTGATTTGCATTAAGAGCAGAATTAATTTGCTTTTTCTTCATGCTGCTTATTTTATATAATTTTGATTTATTGAATAGGCTAGTTTTTACTGAACAGAAATTGCTAGCCATTATCCCCTGAAGATTAGGCTAAAACTTAGTTAAATTCAAATCTAAATATGTTACTATCAATGTTTTTAGAAGATGACTTAGCATTTGTATCCTTTCTACTCTGTGAATCTAACTCCTTGCTTACATTTTTCTTAACCATATCAGGAGACTCTTAATATCCATGTGCTCTACCAGTCTAAATAATTAAGAGTAAGTATAATACCATCATTGTTTTAAGATTATCGTTTTCTTGTTTTAGTCTCTCTAGCTGCATTTACAAGCGAATATTTTCGCTTGAAATAACATTGATGGTTTTAATTAAAGCAGACTCTTAGGGAACTTATTATTGGATGAGATTTTGTAAGCTCTCCTTATTGATTTTAAGATTGATCCTAAGGTCGTCATTCTCTTACTTTGCAATGAAAAGCTATCTATCCAATTCTTTTATTCTGTTGGGTAAATCATTATTGGGAGTAGGTGGAGGTTCTACTACAGATTTCTAAAAATTCTGGACTTCTTAATGCGGCGTCAACTGCATGTGCTTTTAGTTAATTGCTGAGAAAGAAATGGGGATTGAAAACCGCTTATCGAATGACCCTGTACTCTGTTAGCCAACTATTTGGGAATTAGCGGAGGTCAGAGGTGGAATCATCGACTTTTTGTCCTCTTTACTCATTCTTAAATTCTTCATATCCATTAAATGTTTATATTTATTTTATATGTATTGAAATTATGAAATTAAAATAAAAGTATTATTATTTTAAATGAATAATCAATCCAATTAATTTAAAAGTCAAGTCTTCATTGAAATATGTCAAAGTTCTTTTGCTTCATTATAGTATTTTTTCTTCTAAATAAACCCGCTTAATCATGCTCTTAAAAAATGGTACTTGGCCCTCTAGTCTCATTACCTGAGTTATGAGTTCCTCTTCTCCTCTTTTAACTTGGATGGCGAATTATACTTTCCCCAAAACCAAAGCTTACTCTGGCACCTGTAGCACTTACTCTTGGTTGCAAAGAAGTTCTGTTATCATCTTTCTATAAATCGTTATCGTGGTGATAATTATCTTTCTTGTTTGCTGATGTTATAGTATCTCTGAATAACTAGTATTGCTACTAACCTTACTTTATCAATATGGCTTTAATCTCAGAAATTTCCTCTTGCAATTTACTAATACTCTAGACAATCTATTCTTATTCTTCTTTCTACGAAGTATCTCCTCCTTGCTATATTACCTAAGCCCTTTCCTCAATAATGTCATCTATATACTCGCAATCAGGTTTCGCAATCAGAATGTACTTATCTGATTTAAGTTCATAATCAGTAAGGAAGTAATTATCATAAATTAAAGAAGCTAGTTCTTTGTACATGCTATTTTTTGCATTCAGTTGAATTTTATTGTAAGACTCAGAAATAATAGAAATCAGTAAATTTAATAGCACAATAATTAAAAATATTGATGCAGTTGTAAATAGAGCCCATAAAATTATCTCATTACTATCATCGAATTTCTAAGTATCGAAATCTCCAAGGAGCAATCTAAATGTAAAGGAGAGTCCTTCAGGATAAGTTTTTATAAACCTGCTCTCTCTATCAGGATTAGCTTAGGACAAAATAAAGAATGAATTTCCAAAAGCAAATAGCGTCATCATTAATATAATGAAAAAATAGACCATATCTTGGACGACTTAAATAATCATACTAGTCAAATAACCTACATTTCTAAATATTCTGAGATAATAAAGGGATTTTAGCCATACAATTAATGTAGCTATAGCATATAAGGGTCTCTAAATAGCAGTGTCGATATCCATATAGTCTATTATTAAGGTTAGAAGTACAAAAATAATCGAAATCATATCTAGATAATTCCATGGAGAAGATAAATATATTCTAGCATCCTTGTAAGCTTAGATAATTTCAATAGCTAAGAAGTAGACTAAAAAAGAAAGGATAATTATCTTAGAGGTGTTATTCAATACAGAATTAAACTAGCATATTAGAGTCTCTTCATGAGAAATACTTTAAGATCTTTTCTCAAAGCAATCCTCAATAACAGGAAACACAATACCAGTGTAAAACATAAAGAAAACTAGAAAGACCATACTTGGTATCATCATCCATTTAATGATTGCTTTTCTTGTGATTGGCCAAGCATACTCAATAATAGCTCTTACTGCTTCAGATTCAAATATTTCCATCTATTCAGTAGTTCTTAATGCAGTGAAAATGTTAAGGTCTTTATTCTAAGATTGATTAATCACATTTGGGATATCTAGCACCATTACTTTAGTTGGGATCTGAATTTCATTTTCATCAAAAAGATCTTGATTTTATTCAATAGTTTATTTCTAATCAAACCAGAAGGTATTAGTTCCTGTAAATGAAAAATCAATCTCCTTCAATATTCTCAATCTTTCTCTATCAAAATTCTTTAACATTGGAGTCATTTTGAATCTCTTGTCTAGAAAATAGTTTGTCTTTTAGAGTCCTTTAATTATTAAGTAAGGTATCATTTCCTAAATATTTTAAGAGCAGTACGAAATAGGATAATCAGCCAAATAATTTAAAAACTAATCAGTAAGCTTTGCATTTGACAAAGAATAATGAAGAGGTGTTTTTCCATCAGAATCCTTTAGAAAGGGAATATAATATGGACAATCTACTCCTTCATCCTCATAGTATTTTTAGAGTCTACCATAAACATATTACATGAGAGGAATTTCCTTTAAATAAAAAAGGATATTCTATCTTTTGTAAGGGAATATTGCTAAGCAAGCACTTTTCAATATATCATATGGAATATCAACAGTCTTATAAATGTCCTTGAGTTTAGATGCTAATAGCCAATCAAATATTGAGAAGTCAAATATTATTCTTTTCCGCTTCTGGTAACGTTTATTGCTTCTAACTAAATATTCTCCTATCTTAGAGCTTAAATCGTCACTAAATTCTATCGATTAGAGCTACTCAACATCAAATTTAACAGGATAAATTTAGACATTTTACTATCTTCTTTTATTGATATATTTTTTATAAAGCAGGCCTTAAAGATTTTAAACATTCTCTCTATCAATTTTAATGACCATGTCAGTTGAGAAAAAAATTCCATGACTGATATAAATTTTTGACGGCTCGCTTGCAAATAATTATTTTTGTTACAGTGTACTCCATTCCACTAATGTTTGAACTTCGAGTAGATTATTTTAGCATTCATTGATTGCATATTTCTTAATTATATAACTATCCATAATTACTCCTATTGAATAATCACAACAAAAGATCAAAGGCCAGTTTTGATTCCCACTTAAAGGACAATTTTTCATAAATTTGAATCTATTTGTTAGGGAAATCAAGGGTATATCTACAATTACTGTAGAGAAATTTTTGTGTATTATTTTTTCAATATAGCTTGCTTTTTCAAATTGGTACTCTTTAATGCTTTCAGAGATCAACCTTGTAAATTTCCCTTCACTTTCTCTTATAATGCTGGACTTTTAATGATTCCTTATAGTTGTTTAATGAGGACTAATAATGTTGAAGTAGTCAGACTCCATGTAAGTATCTTATTTGACCTCTCGATTAAAGTAAATATGAGAAGAATCCAAATTAAGTAACTAAATTTTAAATACTTTTTCATCAGTATCATATTCTATGAATCTTGAAAAATTTGGTGCGAACAATAATTCTTGAACATGATTAACAATTGTAACTGCATCATACATGTCATAGCCTTCATCATCATGCTTATCTAGAAACTTGTAGATAATAAAGATATTTTTGAAGTTCTTATTGGACCAGGCTAAAAAATGCTTTATATCGTCTGATATCTTTATTGTTTCTAAGTAATGTTAATTAGGTATAGAAATTTACCAGAGAATCCTCTAACTTATGAACACTTAGAATGCATAAAGAGCAGTTTTCTTATCTCAGTGATTACTAAATCATCATCTTTGTTAGTTGTAGTTTCAATTGCTATATATTCGCCAATTCTATCATTAACTATTTTCATAAGAAAATGGCCGTTATTTCCATATTTCTGTATATCTGAATAGGCTCAATCATTATAAATAGAGATTACTTTTATATTCAGAGTAGTCTTTGTAAATGCTTTCATAGTTTTCAAGCATTTTACTTGAAATAAGATCCCAAACTTTAATGCAATTTTTTTAATTCAGCTAGTATAATCTCTAATTCTTGACATATGTGATGTCAAGATTTTTGGAGAGGCATTCTAAAAGTATGAATGTCAGTTGAATTACATTTATCGTAACCTATTAGTTCTAGATAGTTGTTGTGAAGAGCAGGGAATAAACATATTCTAGTGCACGAAAACAATATTGACATTCTAGTAGTGGTATCATCAAATCTTATTATTTTCCTAAAGATAAATAAATCAAATTAATTACTTCATGTTAAGCTAATTAGAGCCAGAAAATACTTCGCAATCAAGGAGTTTAATTTAACATTTTGGATCTATGTAGTCAAATTTAATTTTCTGCAGATTATCTCCTTTTTCTAGCCAGTAAATGTACTTGTTTTCAAATATCAAAAAGTGTTTCATGTTGATGCCAAGTCTTTGAATTTACTCTAATTTCTCTTCAGCAAGATTGATTATATAGAGTAGATCTTTGCTCAAGATAAAGATATACATAGTATTGACTTGATATGAATCAATCTATTATACATCTAAATCTGAAAGCTAACCCTTGAATTAAATAGTTTAGATTGACTAACTCTTTCCTCCGCATATTTTATGTCTTGTTATTTAGTCCTAGTAAAGGATAGCTATTGTTGCATCCTTTCTATTGATTAAAACATTGAAGTTCTCTTGGTCTAGCAGCTATAGCTTCATAACATTTTTAATAATATTCTTTGTGCTATCAGATTTAACTACATTTACTGTTATTTCCTGAGTAAATTAGTTTTGAAGATCAAAGACGATGAAAGGCTTATCTTTTATTGTAAGCAGTTCTCTAATTTTAAGGACTTTACCTACTACTGATTTTTCAACATCCCACGTATAGACGTCTTATATTTTAACTTTGTTATCTCTAATACTGAATTATTTTTTCTTTCCATCCATGTAACGTACATACAGTGAGTCTCCAGACATAAAAAAGTAATAAATATCTTGATCAAAGTTCTCAACTGCAGTATAATGCTCTGTTTTACTTTTAATTTACTTATAGTCTCTAAACATATGTTCCCAGCCATTTTGATTTTAGCTACACAGATCGGTTAGATTCTTGAATGAAATAACATTTGCATGACCAAGGATTACATAATTATCGTAGTTTATATAAGACTAGATAGGAAAGACTTTACCATCAAGTTAAGATAATACTTCCTCCTCATAGCTGAGAGAACTATCCTGTATTATTTCGATATATTTGTTATAAATTCCATCTCCAGCAAACTAAGTATTTGCTGTTTTTCTAATTTGACCAAATGGAATTACCTTGACGCATTATTTTCCAGATTAATTAAGATAAAGTAAGACAAGTTTGTGCTAGTCTTAATCGTAATTCCAATCAATCAGATTCAAGTCAATATCAATTAGCGTGTTTATTAGATCTCTTTCAATTTCAACCAATTTAAATCCTCTAGGTTCTTTTTTCTCTAGAACATACAATCTTTTGAGGAAATCTTTGTCATTAATCATAATTACTTCAAACTTTTTAATACTCTGGAGAGAAAAATATCTGAGTATGATTGATACTTAGTCATAGGAAATCAATTTTTCATCTAATTTTTTGCAAGCCTTCAAGTCAACACTCAATATGTTTACAGTTTAAAGGTTTTTGTTATCGGAGTCCTATCGAGTAATTGATCTAAACATATTACTAAAATGACTTTCAATAGTATCTTTAAGGGCACTTTAATTATGAGTAGTCTAATCACTTTCATTTTCCAGATTATTATCATCATTCTATGAAGGCAACTACTATATTATGACAGCATGCAAGCAGTCAGCCTATATCTTGATTACTTTTGCTTCCATTTAGATGATTTTATATTTGATTGTATTTTATGGATCTAGTACAAATTTCACCTCTTTTACATCCTCATATTAAAATTAGGCATTATTTGGTTCGTTATTATTGTAGTAGTTGTTTATATCCTACTACTAATTGAAAAATGTCAGTAGTTCATTCTAGAAAAGAAAATCATCTGAAATAATCACGTCATACAGCCATAGTACTTGATTTTCTTTAGTGAGAAATATGTACTGATCTGAAAGATATAAGCCAGCTAAATAAATTATTAAGAACTATTCTAACTTACTAGGATTAGAAAATGTAAATGGTATTCTATATTGCAGTTCTTCATTTGAAGCCATATTTATTAAGTACAGAATGTTAGATTCCTCAAAAATAATTGAAAGTAGGTAATGATGTACGTAAATGTGCTGTATTTTATCTGTTTAAAGGTTATTTATAGAATGGTATACATTGCAAGGTCATCATAAGTGTCTTACGGTAAGGTCTTTCATTCTCATATGAAACCCAAACTGATATAGATTGTTGAATTTCTTTCTCCTTAATCATGGTTGAGTCCTAAACTTGAGCAATTAATACCTTAAATTGGTATGAACCATATTTGGAATGAAATATCTCCTTTATCTCACATAAATCTAGAGGCCAACTCATTATATTCTTTAATCTTACTTTTTAAGTCTACTTAAATCACTTGCTAGTTAAACCATTTCATGACATCATCTGTAGTAGGCAATTCTTGGGACTAATTATCCTCCTCAAACTGGCGCAAATACTTTTTAGTCTTAGCTTGCATTAATAATAAAAATATATTTAAAATTTTCATAAGAATATAAAATATAGTCTCTCGGGGTTTTGGGGTTTTGGGGTTTTGGGG